ACACACACACACACACACACACACACACACACACACACACACACACACACACACACACACACACAAATACACGCGCACCAACACACACACACACAAACACATACACACACAAATACAAAAACATACACCCACAAACTCACACACATACACACACTCAATCCCACACCCTCGCACACAAACACATGTATGCTCGAAAGCACATTATTATATTCTCTTTTCCCCAACAAAAAAACTAATACTTGTATTTTAATTTCACTCACAGACCAACAGTCTTACGCATATATAAATAAACAATTGTTGTCTACAATAGTAATGATCAACCAAGCTTCATAATATAATCAGTATTATCATTGTTATTATCAGCATGACCATCGACTGTCACCAACCCGGTTTTTATATAAATGAACAATAATTGCAAACAATAATGATTACCTTAGCTTCATATTCAGTATTATTAATATTGTTATTATCATCAAAATCGTCGCCTCGCACCGGTTGTTTTTTTTTAGATCAATAAATAAACAATTATTGTTAACAATAATAATGATAATCCAGTCTTCATAGTACGTCTTATTATTGTTATTATCATCGTGACCCCTGTCTCTCACCTACCCAGCGGCCCAGGTGACTCTGTTCGCCCCAACAAACAATGCACTGATGAAAATTCCTCAAGCCGATTTCGAAGATCTGAAGGCAGACACGCAGAGACTGACAGAACTACTTCAGTATCACGCGACCACAGACATGGGCTTTCACACCAACGGTCGAGCCAATGACCTAGTTCTGACCTCTCTCCACAACAATCTGCCCATCAGAATCAACATTTACGGTCTTCTACACGTAATTTTAATTAATACTTTTTTCTTTGGGTTCCCTGTTAGATCTTAGGGGTAGTCAACCGCTGGTTCTTCAACCTGCAGTGCAACTTGCCTTTACGTATGTGACCGTTTTTCTTACTTCATTAGGTCCCTCACCTTCAGGCAGCCACATTCACTATTGTGATTATCTATCCATCTATCTGCATTTAATTGTATCAAGGCAATGTATGGAACAAACATTTTCTTTGACCACGAACAATGTCATCTTTGGTAAACCTTTCTTTCGTGCAGTCCCTCATGTTTTACTCACCGACTTCTGAGGTGTAAGGGTTTGGCCCTTCGCTGTTGCTCGCAGAAGGTAAAATAATATAGATTGTAGGGAAGTTTGCTTTGTTTTGGGGTGTTTGGGGGTTGTTGGGTTTTTTTTTCAAATTAAAAAAAACCCAACAATATTTTGAAAAAAAATAATTCAATGCTATTTTTTGTCGGACAGGACGAGGAGGAG